TTTTTTTTCAGATGGTAGGTAGAAGAAAGGCTTGAAAAAGCTGCAAAGCAGGGTAGGAGGGGCTGTTCAGGATAGAGCAGAAAAAGCGTCCATCTCCTCTGAAGGCTAAGCGAAGAACAAAAACAATAGCAATCATGCAATTCCATGTTGATTAAGAAAACAAAATGAAACRGAAAATATGAAATGRCTGTCATTATGAGACTAATGTACTATGTGATGAACAAGTGATCTGTTCAGGGTGTACCTCAACTCTCTCCCATTGATTGCTGTTAATATGTAACCCGTAACAGGCATGGATAATGGATAAATTGMTAAACTGAAAACATWGCACAAAAAAGCTTGCTGTTGTGTAATAAAACAATATAAATGGGTCAYTTCAGATAAAGAGACTGATCCAGAAGTTCATTACAAAACAAGAAACCATCAGCTTGGTCGTGGTTCCCAGCAATGTGGACATCGCGACTACAGAAGCTCTGAAGATGGCTCAGCAGGTGGATCCAGAAGGAGAGAGGACTCTGGGTAAATAGAAGGGATTTTGTACAAATGTCRCACAGTCTTTCTGGAACAGATAAGTAATCCCCTTTGTTTCTGTCAGGTATCCTGACCAAGCCTGACCTGGTGGACAAAGGCACAGAAGAGACAGTGGTTGAAATAGTCCACAATGAAATCATCCAGCTGAAGAAGGGCTACATGATYGTTAAGTGCAGGGGTCAGAAGGAAATCACTGAGAGGGTGTCGCTCACTGAAGCAATAGAAAGAGAGAAAGCCTTCTTTAAAGACCATCCATATTTCCAGTAAGTTCACTCTGCTTATGTCACGTTTTTTGATGAATTGTTTCAAGATCTGACTTTTGTTGTTTTTTTCTGCAGCACWCTTTACAGTGGAGGCCATGCTACTGTTCCTAAACTGGCTGAGAAACTTACAATTGAGCTGGTTCATCACATTGAGGTGAATTGCTGTTTCAGTTTTAGTTTAATTAACAACTGATTAGGTTTAGTCTGATTTTTGACTACTTACAGTATATGTGATTTACAGAGGTCTCTTCCAAGACTAGAAGAGCAGATAGAGGAAAAACTAAAACAGACTCAGGCTGAGCTGGACCGATATGGCAATGGACCCCCATCTGATGCAGCAGAGCGACTGGTTTTCCTGATTGATGTGAGCTTCCTACATTTACCTAACACCTACATAATGACACAGACTGTATCTGTTCAATAAGCATTTAAAACCTTTAACAACTGTGTGCTGCAGAAAGTGACTGCGTTCACTCAGGATGCCATCAGCCTGACCACAGGAGAGGAGCTGAAGTGTGGAGAAAGACTCAATGTCTTTTCAGTGCTCAGAAAAGAGTTTGGGAAATGGAAGGCCCACCTGGAGCACTCAGGAGAAAACTGTGAGTATTTTTTTTGAACAGTGGAGTACAGCTGCTGAACCAGGTGTGACATGCTGTTGTTTGTGATGCAGTTAACAGCAAAATCGAAAGGGAGGTGGAGGAATACGAAGACATGTACCGTGGAAGAGAACTTCCAGGYTTCATCAACTACAAGACCTTTGAGGTGATGGTCAAAGAGCAGATCAAACAGCTGGAAGAACCTGCTGTCAGGAAACTTAAAGACATTGGAGGTAAATGAAAGCATTTCTTAAGGCATGGTTACATGTTTTGTGTCTGACAGACTTTTTACTTGGTTGGATAAAAGCAACAAAAGCTGTAATATTATAACAAAGCAACAGTGTACGAGTTTATATACTCTTACAGAGAAAAAAAATCACATTGAGCGCCCAAACAGAGTTGTGTGTCAGTACTGAAATTATTACTATGAGTCATACAGCTACTATACCTTCACAGCTGTGGCAACTGGTCCTCAAGGCCCAGCAGATGTCATTGGCTTGGAGTTATCAACCTTGCTGATCCCACATATGTTTAGCTGGAGAAAGATCGTAGGAGTTGGCCACAGTAAGACCAGATACCTGAGCCATGTGTGGACATCTGTGAGTTTCACCCATTGGTTCCTACAGCTGGCCACTGTGACAGAGTTTGCATCATACAAATGCCTCTTGCTACTTCTTGCAAACTCACAATATGACTTCTATCAAACTTTGTCGGTGTCTTGAAGAAGTCCAGGATTGGACACCCATGGTCTAATGCATCTGCCAACTGTCTTATAACACTAAGTTTTCACTTGTAATGTCATCACTTGAATTTCTGGTTCCTATTGTAGACGGGCACCAGAGGACAGCTGTTTGTTCTGGGTCTTTACAAATCAAATCACAGAATTTC